GAGTTAAAAATAAAAATATAGCAACATTGTCTTTCATCATTACCCATGTTGTTACCTTTCCCAGAATTTTGTTATTTCATATACTATTTGTGTCATTGTCAATTGTATTTTACTTTAACATTTCAGGATTTCCTTTAACATTTTTTTATATTTCAAATTTACCAGAGACAAATTCTTTCCATTTATGTTTATTATGGAATATCTTAATTTTGACCTGTTGAAAATAGATTTGTCAGATATGGAATCTTGGTTGACAATGTTCTTTTTCTTTCTTCCTTTATTCGTCACTGTAAAAATGCCATTTCACATAGCAAAGGTTTTAGTAATGTTAGTCTTCAACTTCAGATTTGAGTTAACAGTTCCTGGATCATTGACCCAACTTCTATTATTTTCATTAATTCTTTTCTAATTCTGTACGCCAAGTCCAGCAGCATAAGCTACTACTCTAGTGGTATGATCCTCATCTCAAGCATTCTTTTATTTGAAAAGTAGAGTTAGAGAGAGAGAGAGAGAGAGAGAGAGAGAGAGAGAGAGAAAGAGAGACAAAATCTCCCATCAACTGGAAGGACTGCAATGCCCGGAGCTCAGCCGATCTGAAACCAGGAGCCAGGAGCTCCTTCCAGGTTTCCCAGGTGGATGCAGGGCCCAAGGACTTGGGCCATCCTTCGCTGCTTTCCCAGGTGCATTAGCAGGGAGCTGGATGGGAAGCAGAGCACCTGAGACTCATGGAACCAGCACCCATAAGGGATGCTGGCACTGCAGCCCAAGGCTTTAACCCGCTGTACCACAGCCCCTGCGTCAAGCATCCTTTCTTTAACTTTGACAATGGAGATGTTATAATATGCCTTGGGGTAGATTTGACTGGATTGAATCTGACTGGTAACCTTTGATCTTTTTGTACCAAGATAGTGTATCTTTTCATAGGTTTGGAACGTTTTCTGTCATTATGACTTTGAAAGTTCTTTCTACCCCTTTGGAATGTTCAAGTCCCTCTTGAAATCAGTAACACAAACATTTGCCGTTTCCATGCTATTATTATTTGTATGCTTTGTTCATTTTTCTTGATTCTCTTTTTTTCCCTCCAATTGTGTATTTTCAGATACCCTGTCTTTGAGCTCATTATTCTTTCTTCTGTTTGTTCTAGTATGCTATTGAAACTTTTTATTGTGTTTTTAGTTTCATTTAGTGGATTTTTAAATAGAAGAATTTCTGCTTGATTTGTTTAGTTACATCTATTTCTCTATCAAATCTACATTAGAATATTGAATTCTTTCTCTTTGTTCTCTTGAATTTCATTTAGTTTCCTTAAAACATCTATTCTTTTGAGCATTTTGAAATTTCAATTCCTAGTTTTTGGGGGTTTAGGCTCCTTATTTTGCTATTTAGTTCAGGTCATGGCTCACTGGAAGTTTCTTATGCTTGTTGGAGTATAGTGGCATAGCACATTAAAGATGCATTTTAGTAATCTGGTATCATTTGTAGCTATCCTCCTCAAAAGTTTAAGCAATCTATGCTGTTGCTGAGATGGGTTATGGTATGTTCTTTACTGAGGTGGGCTGACTGCCCAAAGCTGCATCTATTACCCACTGGTCATGCTGTAATGTGGTTAATTAAAAGTAGAATAAATTCTGCTCTGGGCTATAGCAGATTACATCTGAGTGTACAGTCTCTTGATTGCCCTTCAATCTCTGGACAATTCCTGTAGAGACTTGGAAACAGATTTTCCTTGAACACTTAGATAATCCACCACACCAGAAACTTGGTGTGGTGCTAAGAAGCCCTGTTAACTAATATTCAACACAATCTCTAAATTCCCAAAGAAACTTCTGTGGTTCTTCTCTCAGGATTGCAAAACTGTATATTTACTTCAACTATTATTTTTCACCCTATATGACTTCAGATTATTTATTGTTTGTCTTACAAAACTTTTGAGGAATGCCTTCCCTTTTTGTGTAATGTGAGAGTTATGAATTAGACAAGAACAAAACAAGTGCATTGCTGTATTATTTAACCTAGTTAACTTGACCATATTGGGCACTTTATAAACATTGCTTGCTTACATGTTATTATTGTTATTTCAATGCTGCTTTCTTCCAGATAACTTCCACAAATCCATGTAACAAATTGATAATCAGATTTGGTAAATATAGTGTCTAAAATCACAACTTTACACATATTAATAGAAATAAAAAACATATCCTTGCATCCCACTTTGGAATTTACCTATAGGAATAAAGTAATAAATGATAATATAATTGGAAGCACAAATACAAGATATTTGTATATGAACACATATAATCATTGTCAAAACTATATATTTTTAATCATTTTTTTTCTGTCTACACCTTTATGCACAAGCAACAGACAGTCCATCATTATATAAAGCTCATTAAAATAATTTAAAACTGTTCACCATGATAGAATGCAAATAAAATTTTAAGTGATTTCTGTACTTATTTCTAAACAAACAGATTTCTCTTATGTATGCCAAAGACTTTCTGTCATCTCCTAACTTTTTGGCTTTACAATCGTTTCTCATTTCAACTAGTTCTCCCCAAGTAATATGACATTATAAAGATTGTCTAAATACATATAAATGTGGAAGATATTCACATTTCAATTCAAGCTGAGATAGCTATAGCTCATTTTTCTAGGGATTCTATTATCTGTTGAAAACCAGAACTCCATCAAAATAGCTTTGCAACTGCTGTTCAATATTCATTCACTGAAAATGGTACATTGAGAATGCCATATGATGAAATGTTGTGCAAAAGGAACCAAATGTTCTATAACCTGGAGGAAAAGAGAACTTTAGAAGAAATGAACTAACTAAATGGGGAAATGCATTTCCAAAGAAATTGCAGTGCCTTGTATCATAAATTTAAGTAGCAGTAATCAGTGTTAATTTTTAAAGATGAGGAAAAATCAAATGTTTCTTATGAATACCAAAATTTACTGCTTTTCTTATGTTAATTAGAGAAATAAAGCACAGCTGCGTTTACAATCATGCTTTATAATAAATTTCTTGGGAAAGGACTTCATGCATTTAGATATACATTTATATAGTTTTAATGATATAAGATAATGGATTTTTGGTAATTCATTTATCCTTATAAACAAAAAAAAATTTAGTACATAAAAGACTATTGTCAATACAGCATGCAAATTACTGGTTTTATTTGCTTTATTTTTTAAAGAAAATATTTCTCTCCTCCAACTCAAATGCATTTTACAAAATAATAATTGTTCTAATTGGTCTAATGAATTGTTCTTTAATCTTTATGTTTCTTTTTAGATACCATCAAATAAGAATATTTAGTATCAGGTTTCAAATTTTGTTATTTATGACGAACCTCTTTTATTAAAATTCTATTGTATGTGTTATTTCAGAAAATTTTTCTAATAGAAATGTAGCTTTTAATGCTCTGTAATATATGATAGGAAAATTTATAACTAAAAATTTACTTAACAGTATGCTGCATATCTGACCTATTTTAAAAACATACAAAGAGTATGCTATAGTTACTACTAATCCCCAACCACAAGTGTAATATTTTCACATTACTTTTTCTTTTCTTCATAATTATTTATTTATAATAAGAATGTTAGGAGCCTAAAAACATTCCTTATGATCATAGATATAAGAAGCTGTGATAACATAATGAAGTATCTGTTTCAGCACATTTAGGACTCCTTTCTCCTAAAATCTGGATTGTTACTATGTCATTAGGCTCACAGTGCAGATTGAATACACAGTTTTTAGAGATGAGAGACAGAAAATATACCACTTGAGACACTGAATCTAATATATTCAACTACTGTGCAGGAAAAGATGATTTGCCATATATTGTCTGTCACTTCACATTTGGAGAAATTCGGTTTATTAAATACATGAAGGTAATAAAGAACAGAAACGTAACAAGTTTCATGGAAAATTTGAAACAAAAATATGACTTATTCTGGAAAACATTACTAGAAAATTTAAATATCAATTATGATGACCATAATTTATCACTCCCTTATATTTTGTAAAATTATTTTATCTATATAACAAAAGAAGAATGGAGTGAAATACAGATTGCTTGATCTTAAAAACAGGACACATTTAATCCCTATATCTGATTATCTCTTACTATATTTGCTGTGGAGGAATAACCACTTCTATGAACCTCAGATTCATTTTAACTCAAAAATAATGATATACCTAACATTCATTATTGTCATCAAGTTAGAGAACAGATATATAAATAGCATGAGATTTAAATAATATTGAAAAGTATTATTTTTGTTCATATGAGTGATTCATTGATTCACCTATCATTTTCAAATATCATTATTTCCGTGTATTTCGGAAGTTTTATAAAAAGAGTACTAAAGATGCCTAGTCATTATCTACTGCATCTCAGATAATATACTAATTTAAATGGCCTTCAAACATTTCTTGAAAAGGCATATTGTGAAAAACATGTATGGATTTCAAATATTTTTGCACTCAAATAAAGTTATCTTTTAATTTTATCCTTTCACAAACTTTGTGAAGCACCCTCATTTATTCATTGTAGTGAGCAGATGAGGTGGTATACATTAACTGCATATAATACACAACTCTAGCAAAGGTTAGAGACTCATTAAATCACAAAAAAAAAAATAGAATTGTAGAGCTAAGATCTGTGGTAAACACTCACACAATATAAAATCAAAACATCAAACAGTTAAACTACATAATATCTTAATATCTTCCATTGGCATTTGGGCAGAAAACAAGACACTGAAGAAAGAAAACTGTTAGGGAACCATTCATGGAGAAAGTGTAGCACCATTTGAAAGAAAGTAACTGTAGCACAGCTTGAAAAAAAGTAGAAAAGTAGCTTCTCTAGCTGGTAAGATTTGAAAAGGGGTGGCCTAACTAGACAAACTGCCATTGCCATGACTATGGGACCCTAGGAGGTCACAATGTGGGCGGGGCTAGCCTCTAGAAATTGTATATAAGGGGACCCTCAGATGCTGTAAACCAGAGGTTGCTCAGCCTCTCTCCCTGGTCCATATTACCTAGCGCTGGCGGGGAGAAGCTCCTGGTCCGTAGTGCCTAGTGCCCACAGGAGTAGGCTTGAGCGATCTCTCCTCCTAGTCACCTAGAGTACCAATAAAGTGTGTTTAGCTTGATCTTCCTCAGTCTCCTGGACTCTTCCTTTGTGGCAACCTGGCCAGTTCCCGGAGGGGGAGATCCTGACAGCTGGCACCCGAACAGAACAGGGACCTGAAATCTACTGGTAAGGAGACGAGCCTTTGAGGAATCCTTGAAAGGGTGAGTAGCAGTGGTTGAAAGAGACCACAATGGGTGGGATGTCCCAGTCAAAAAAATATAGGCAGGCAATAGTGAGTATAGAGAAGGTGAAGGTCCTTCCAAGCCGGGCACCAAGAGGTAAGAAAGTGAAGTGCTATTCACGAGGAAATGTAACATGGGCTTGTAAGCTGGCAGCAGCTTGTACAGGACAGGACCTCCAAGATCTGCAGACCTTGGAAGAAGTAGAAAACTTCCTGGAGGAATTTCTACAAAGAGGAGAAGGTGCCACAACAGGGAAACATTATAAATGTGCAGTAGACACCCTTAAGGTGTTAATTTGTTGTGGCAAGGGATTAAATCCAAAAAATACAGGAGATGCCTGTAAGCTCTATGATGCCATAACAAAATGTAGGCAAAAACCTCAGGTTCTTCCCAGGGAGTTAAGTAAGGAAGAAAAAGCAAAAAAGCAAAAGACAGTCAGCTACCGATGTTAAGAGGTGGTAGACGAGAATGAGCCTGTGGGACCTGGACTAATAGCCGGTTGGCTTAAACAATTTCAGGAACATGGTCTCATGCACCCAGCTACCATCACTTTCTTTGGGGGTAATTTCAATAAACTTTACATCAGTAGACATCAATATGCTACTAAATGTAACTCCTGGCTTTGCAGCAGAGAAACAACTAGTCACAGACAAGATAAAAGAGAAGGCGAGAGCATGGCATGAGATGCATCCTCCTCCCCCAGACGATGCAGCTGGACCAATGCCGCTAACATCGGTTCATATTAGGGGAATTGGATTAGCACCAGAAGCAGCAGCTGGCCCTAGATTCGCTGATGCCAGAGCCTTCTATAGAACATGGGTTCTTGAGGCACTTCAAAAATGCCAGAGAACTCTCAGTGGGGTTCCTAAAGCAGTCAGCATCAGACAAGGGCCCAAAGAACCCTACCCTGAGTTTATTAATTGATTATTTACTCAGATTGATATGGAAACATCTAGAGAGGATTTGAGAACATATTTAAAGGACACCATGAGCATTCAAAATGCTAATGAAGAATGTAAAAAGTTGTTTAGAAATTTAAGACCAGGAGATTCATTAGAAGAAAAAATGTATCCCTGTAGAGAATTTGGATCCACCTCCTATAAGATGGCCATGCTGGCAGAGGCCTTAAAGGCTGGAGATAGACAGCAAGGGTCAAGAAGTTTTCAGGGAAATTGTTACAGGTGTGGAAAAAAGGGGCATATGGCAAGAAATTGTAGGAGTGGAGAAAAAACTCCACTAAAATGCTATAATTGTGAGAGAACCAGACATATGGCAAAAGTATGTAGACAGCCAAAAAATGGGAAAGTGGGGGGCAATGCCCCCCAGACCATGATGGCATCTGCCCAGAATATCCAGTCATCTATCCCACTGTCTGCCCCACCCCTGGGGGAAACACAGACGGAAGCCCCTGGAACAGGAATCTACCCAAAATTACCAAAATGGAATTAAAACAAAGACCTACCTTAAAGGTAAGCCTAGGGGGAAAAGATATAATAGGGCTGTTAGACACAGGAGCCGATTTAACCATAATAAGGGAACAAGAGGCTGAAGGAATAAAAGAAGGGATAACAGAAGGATGGCAAAATATAAAGGGGGTGGGAGGGTGCTCTAAATTACAAAAGATATCACAAGTTACACTGAAAGACAAAAAAGGAAGGAAGACGAAGACATCGATACTAATATCCCCAGATATTCCCATCGATATATTCGGAAGGGATATCTTAACAAAGTTAGGGGTAGCCCTAATTATGGTGCAACTCTCTACCCAAATTAACCCAATAAAGATAAAAATGAAAGATCCTAATAAAGGTCCCTTGATTCCCCAATGGCCTTTAACCAAAGAAAAATCAGACGGAATTAAGGAAATAACAAAAAGACTACTAGAGGAAGGGAAGATATCTCCAGCAAGCCCAGATAATCCATGGAACACTCCAACATTTGTGATAAGGAAAAACTCAGGTAAATGGTGAATGCTAATAGATTTTAGAGAACTTAATAAATTAGTAGATAAGGGAAGAGAAGTTCAATTAGGTATTCCACACCCTGGAGGATTACAAAGAAGAAATCAGGTTACTGATCTGGATATAGGGGATGCTTATTTTACCACCCCTCTGGATAAGGACTTCAGGCAGTACACTGCTTTTACCATCCCAGAGGTTAATAATCAAGGTCCAGGCCTTAGGTATGTTTGGAATTGTCTCCCACAAGGTTTTGTATTCAGTCCCTTGATTTATCAAAGTACACTAAGGGACATACTAAAGCCCTGGAGACAACAACACCCAGAAGTAGATCTTTATCAATATATGGATGATATATATATTGGGTCTGATCATTCTCCAAAACAACACAAACTGGTCATAGAAAAACTTAGAAAAATGCTTCTAGAAAAGGGATTTGAGACCCCAAATGAGGAATTACAAGAACAATATCCCTTTTCATGGATGGGGTACTTGTTACACCCGAATAAATGGACATTGCAAAGACTAGAGTTGCCAGAACTTCCAGAGAAACCCACCCTAAATGAATTACAAAAGTTAGTAGGACTCCTTAATCGGATGACCCAAGCTGTTCCTGGAATTAAGACAAAACCTTTTACTCTCATGATGAAGGGAAACCAAGAGTTAGATAGTATCAGGGAATGGACCTCCGAAGCAAGACAGGAGTTACGGACTGTAAGGAGGCTATTACAAGAACACAAACCTTTAAGCTACTGGGACCCCAGCAAGGAAGTTTACTGATCAGTTATGATGGGAGGTAACACCAAAAATTATAAAGTGCACCAAGGAGCTGATATCCTTTGGGTAGGTAGACAGGAATTTCCAAAGGTATTAGCAGCATCTCCTCTAACTAGAGCCCTAAAATGTCTACATAAAATCAGACAAGAATGTATTATACGAATAGGGCAAGAACTTATATATAGGTTACCTACAAAAAAAAGAGGATTTAGATATTATGATTCAGGAAGACCCCTACTTGCATTGGGTACCACGGATTGAATGTATCCATGTGCCTTTAATGCTTAGAAGGGCGCTAAGCAGTCTTCAAGGTCATCCCATGCCAGGACCTACTTACTATGTTGATGGAGGAAGCAAACATGGGCAAGGAAAATATGGTTTTTGGAGATCAGATGGAGTTAAACTAGTTAAAGAGAGTAAGGGAAGTAATCAAGAATTAGAAAAAAGAGCCATGCTACTAGCCCTTCAGGAAGGAGCCCCGATAATGAATATAGTTATGGATTCCCAATATGTATATACATTAATTGAGGCCAGATCCCTACCTTTAAATATTGAAGAACCCTTGCTTAGAATCATATTAGAAGCTATAGAAAGTAAAGAAGAAATTTACATCCAATGGGTGCCTGGACATAAGGGAATCCCAGGCAATGAAAATATTGACAAATTAGTTTCACAAATAAATACAACTCAAATAACCTGGTAGTACAAGGTGGTCACATTAAGGAAAAAGAACCAGAACAGATTGGATACTCCATAAGTGCCCCAAAAGATCTGGTACTTGTGCCAAAGGTAACAGAGACCCTTAACCTACAAACACAAATTACCATAATCCCAGGACAGTGGGGGTGGATAACAGAAACATCAGAGATGATTGAGGCCAAAGTAAGGGTAGTTGGAGATTTCATCAGCCCAGGAGATCAAAATCCTTTAAAGATAAGATTGGTCAACCTATCCCAAAAAATAGTATATGTAAAAACAGGACAACTAATAATTCAGTTGATTTTAATGCCTGTCCTCCATAACATAAGTAAGGCACCAAACATCTTTTTTCTAGAACATATTGAGACAGCCACAGATGATCATGCTAAATGGCATAGTGGTGTGTCATACTTGAGACAACAATTCAGTTTACCAAGAATTGTAGCAGAACAAATAACAAAGAACTGCCCCAAGTGTGTGCATAAAGGAGGAACTACTCCTCATATTAGTAGATCAGGGCCAGGACTGTGGCAAATGGATGTGACCCACTATGAGGCCCAGTTAATTCCAGTAGCCATTGAGACATCTACTGGCCTTCTATGGGCTAAGCTAATTCCTGAGGAAACTGCTCAGGAAACAGTATGGGGAATATTAGAACTACAGAACCTATTTCATATCCAAGCACTCCAACCAGATAATGGCCCTAACTTCACAGCAGAAAGGGTCATGGGGCTGTGCTGATATTTAAATATTGATCATACCACAGGCATACCCTATAATCCACAGTCGCAGGGAATGGTTGAGAGAGCTAATCAATCCTTAAAACAGGAAATGGATAAATTTGCTGATGTGGTTCAAATGATTGAAGCACGGCTACAATTGGTTCTTATTGCCCTTAATCAAAAGTAAAGGGGAGGAAGAGGGGGCTATACTCCTGAAAGATACATGCATCAGAGATGGCAAGAACTAAAGCAAACACTCCAACTCCAGAAATTTAAAGACAAAAAACTCTTTTGCTTTTATAGATTACCAAACAGTAAAGACTGGAAAGGGCCCACTACCATCCTTTGAATAATCCCCTGCATAGGGGATTATTACCTTGCCCTAAAGACATGTTAGGATGGTTCCAGCCCCAGGACCTCAGGACTTGGGAATTTCCAATTAGGCACTAATGGAATATCAATTGCAATTATCCTGTCAAAAGAACTAATGTGTTTGTAAGGTGCTTTTTACAAAAAGAATTAGGGATTTCATATTCCAGAGCTAAGACTAAAGAACTCCAGAAATGGAAAAAGCAGCAGCAAACGGAGATGGGACCCAGATAAAGGTAAGTTAATTGAAGGTAAGCAAATACTTAAACAATTAAAAATATTAGGCAACTTGAGATTGTGGGAAAGATTCAACTACCTATACTCAGAGCTTATGGATTGATAATGACAATTATCACCTTAATTATATTACCAAGGGCAAAAACAGAAGAACAAGTGTTAGGCTTAGTATAAAATACAATGGTCAACAATTCAAGATGAGTTTTCTGTCTCTCTTTTTTTTTTTTTTTTTTTGTAAAAATGGCTCAGAGCTTAGATATATCAGATGCAGACCTCCAAGTAATAGTCAACACATTGTTTTTGGCAGGCAGGATATGAAATGTTTCAAAAACATTTTGTAAAACCTCCAGTAAGGGAAGACCCAGGAAGTAGGACATGCAGGATAGAAGGGGAGGTATTGTATGCTAGATGCACACAACCATTAGATTCTAAAAAGGAGCTCGGTTGCTATATAAGGGACTTGGAACGGGAAGAGAGAATGATAACATTCTTGGCTCCATATATGGTGGTAAAGGCAACTCCCTTCAAATATGTACCAGTAAGTATGTCTGATTTGACTATACCAGTAAAACCGATGCGCAAAAAAAGAGACTTTGGAGTAACAGCAGCTATTGTCGCTATAGCGGTGTCAGCAGCCATGGTAGCTGGCGCTGACTGGAGCACTGGCTGTAAACACTACACAAATACAGGGAGATGCTTTGGAGTCCCTCCTGAAGGTAATTCAGGAGCAGTGAGCTCAGTGAGGTGACCAGTCAGCACTGCTTAAGACATATGCTATGGGGCTCCAGATGCTCAAAGCAGGCACGGTACAAATAGAACAGATAATTAAAATACTAGCTTTGGAAAGAGAACTCAAGTATGAAGCAATTGGAAGAGTTTGAGTTACCACCATTCCGTGGAACAATCTATCCATTCCTAATGCAACGCAACTAGCTGATGTGTTCAAACACAATCAATCTACCTGGCTAGAGTGGGTAAATACAACCGCTCAACTTGAGGCTAACATTACTAAGAGAGCTCTACAGATAATACAGCTTCAAAATACAGTGGCATTTAAGATAGGTTAAGTCAAAACCGTGGAACAGACAATAAATACTTTGACTGACACAGTTTCCTCTTGGCTCCCATCCTGGAAATGGTTTAAAATAGGAGCAATATTTTGTATGGCTCTTGTATGCTTGCCTATCTTACAGCACCTCTTCTCAATTGGACGGAATTTTGCGAAGGGATACCTAGCCCTCCTAAAGGAACCCGGCCTACCCGAAATTAAGAATAAGAATAAGAATAAGAATAAGAATAAGGATAAGGATAAGAATAAGAATAAGAATAAGAATAAGAATAAGAATAAGAATAAGAGTAAGAGTAAGGGTAAGAGTAACAGTAAGAATAAGGAGAAGGAGGAGAAGGAGAAGGAGAAGGAGAAGGAGGAGGAGAAGAAGAAGATCCCGAATATGGAAATCAATTTGGGATATGCTCAAGAATGTTCATCCCCTTGGCCCATCTGCTCAATGGGCTTTTCAGGACTACAAGCGCATTTAAAGAAAAGAAAAGGGAGGACTGTTAGAGAACCATTCATGGAGAAAGTAACTGTAGTGCCATTTGAAAGAAAATAACTGTAGCGCAGTTTGAAAGAAAGTAACCGCACAGTAGCACAGCTTGAAAGAAAAGTAGAAAAGTAGCTGCTCTAGCTGGTAAGATTTGAAAAGGGATGGCCTAACTAGACAGCCTAGCCACAAACCACAAACTGTCATTGCCATGACTACAGGACCCTGGGAGGTCGGAATGTGGGCGGAGCTAGCCTCTAGAAACTATATAAGGGGACCCTCAGATGCTGTAAACCAGAGGTTGCCCAGCCTCTCTCCCTGGTCCATATTACCTAGCGCTGGCGGGGAGAAGCTCCTGGTCCGTAGTGCCTAATGCCCGCAGGAGTAGGCTTGAGCCATCTCTCCTCCTAGTCACCCAGAGTACCAATAAAGTGTGTTTAGCTTGATCTTCCTCAGTCTCCTCAACTCTTCCTCTGTGGCAACCTGGCCAGTTCCCGGAGGGGGAGAGCCTGACAAAAACTGTCTTATAAACAAAATATAATTTACATATTATTAAAATGAAAATGAAAAAAACTATATAAATATAATTAGATAGACTTCATTTAGATACTTAACCATTCTTGAGCATTTACTATTTTTATTGTTTCATTTATTTAAGTTTTCCTATTTGAAAAGCAGAGAAGTAGAGAGGGAGAGAGATGGAGTACGCTCCCATCCATTGGTTTATTCCCCAAAGGCTTGCAAGGGGAAGCTGAGGTTGGGAGCTGGGAACACAAACCAAATCTCCCATGTGGATGGCAAGAACCCATTTAGTAGAGTCATCACTGCATCTCTCAGGCTCTGCAATATCCGGAAGCTGGAGCTGGGAATTCAACCCAAGTAACCCAGTTGACTAATTTTTTTTTAATATTTAATTTGTTTTTGGGACACAGAGACAAAATGAGAGACCAGAGACAAATAAAGTACTCTCCCGTCAGCTGATTCTTGCCCCAAATGCCCCCAGCAGCAGGGCAGGACCAGATCAAAACTGGAGGCAGGACTCAACCCAACATAGAAGGATGGCACCCAATTATTTGAGCCATACCTGCTACTTTCCAAGGTCTGCATTAGCAATAAGTTGTAATTGGGAGTAGAACTGGAATTAGAGCCTAGGCACCTGGGTATGGGATGTCTTCATTACAAGTAGCAGTTTAACTGCAACACTAACTTCTCACTCATCTTTGACTGACTTTTAGATGTTGAACCAATCTTGCATTTCATGGACGGACGACATTTGCAATAATAGGTTGTCTTTTTCATTTGTTACTGAACTCTATTGCCTGCAAATTTCTTTATAGAGATTTTGCATTTATATTACTGTGGAGTGTTAGCATATAGTTTTCTTTTCCTAGAATAACCATGTCAAATTTTGATTCAAGGTCATTATGACTTTAAAAATTAGTTGGGGAATTTTTTTATTTATTGAAAGAATGTTTTAGGATTAATATGAGTATGAATATTATTAATATTACTTCTCCCCTAAATGTTGGGCAGAATTTGACAGTAATGCCAAATTACCTTTAATTTTTCTTTTCTTTGCATTACATGTATGGTTAAATATGGTTACGGTTATATTTAAGGATTTTAAATATTTCTAAGTTAATACTTTCAAAACTAAATCTAATCACTATTTTAGTCTTAACACAGTCAGTACCATTTTGTATTTGCTTATGTATTTACTAATTCTTTTGCTCTGTCTTTAGGAACAAAGATACTATGATTGTTAAATTTCATAAGGAATCACACAGCTTTAGAAAAGGAATGAGTGAGGCCAGTGCCGCGGCTCACTAGGCTAATCCTCCACCTTGCGGCGCTGGCACCCGCACCCCGGGTTCTAGTCCCGGTCGGGGCGCCAGATTCTGTCCCGGTTGCCCCTCTTCCAGGCCAGCTCTCTGCTGTGGCCAGGGAATGCAGTGGAGGATGGTCCAAGTGCTTGGGCCCTGCACCCGCATGGGAGACCAGGATAAGTACCTGGCTCCTGCCATCGGATCAGTGTGGTGCGCTGGCCGCAGCGGCCATTGGAGGGTGAACCAGCGGCAAAAAGGAAGACCTTTCTCTCTGTTGCTCTCTCTCTCACTGTCCACTCTGTCAAAAAAAAAAAAAAAAAAAAGGAATGAGTGAAAATGGATCTTCCCTGAAATAGAGAACATGTATCAAAAGAATGGATGAGTAGACTCCAGTGAACTAAATAATTGTCATTCACCATAAATTCAACTAGTTAGCTACATTAGTGACTGTACAGTCTAAAAATAGACCATGAGAAATTCACTGTCAATTTGTACTCTTGTTAATTTTTTCTTCTGGCTCAGTGTGTCACCATATCTTTCCTTTTGGAATATAAAGTTCCCTGAACTTTTCTGTTCTTCTATATATTACAAATCATTAATTATCTCCAAAACAACATTAATTTAAAAAGAAGGTTAAGAGATTGATTCATAGCATTTGAAAAAAGCAACAGGGAAAGTTAAATAAAACTGTGATATAGGAGAATTTAAACTAAAATCAAAAAATATAAGGAAATTTGCTTACTCAATGAGTACTTTTTTGCTGAGTTTTATTTTACCTGTCATTTATATCTTAGGCCAAACTATAGGATTTTCTTATTTACATGAAATTATGCTTAATATCCTGGCAATATTTTTTTCAGAAATACTTTATTGCGAGTACAAGGAGTTGATGGAAAGAAAGAAGAGTTCACCTGGAAGTGAATCCACCCCCCCCTTTTTTTTTTAGGATATATTTATTTGAAAGGCAGTTACAGAGAGGCAGAGGCAGAAAGAGAGGTCTTCCATCCACTGGTTCACTCTCTAGATGACCTCAACTGTGCGAGCTGTGCCCATCTGAGCCAGGAGCCAGGAGCTTCTTCTAGGTCTCCCACGTGGGTACACGAACCCAAGGACTTGGGCCATCTTCTGCTACTTTCCCAGGTCATATAGCAGAGAGCTGGATTGGAAGTGGAGCAGCCAGAATCCCAACTGGCACCCCTATGGGATGCCGGCACTTCAGGTGACAGCTTTATCAGCTATGCCACAGTGCTGGTCCTGGAAATGAATCTTTAGTCTTCCGCTTATTCCAAGTTTTAATCTGATCTCTAGCCTTTATAAGAATGCTTGAAATAAAGTATTTTATTGGTTTTAAATTTTTAAAGTTTCATTTTAGAATACTTTTCACTTCCAGCCGACACCATGGCTAACCAGGCTAATCTTCTGCCTTTGGCCCTAGCACCCCGGGCTCTAGTCCTGGTTGGGGTGCCAAGTACTAGTCCCGGTTGCTCCTCTTCCAGTCCAGCTCTCTACTGTGGCCCCCTGGAAGGCAGTGGAGGATGGCCTAAGTGCTTGGGTCCCTGCAACTGCCTGGGAGACTGAGAGGAAGCACCCAGCTCCTGGCTTTGGATCTGCACAGCGCTGGCCATGGTGGCCATTTGGGGAGTCAACCAACAGAAGGAAGACCTTTCTCTGTCTCTCTCGATGTCTGTAACTCTACCTGTCAAATAAAAAAAAAAAAAAAAAGAATTTTTTTTTAAAAGAATATTTTTCACTTCCAAATAAGTTTCAGTTAGAAAGTTTTATTTTTAGCTATGTTTCAGGAAATAATCAAATTTAACAGGCAGTATAATTTTATATAATGTAGCTTATAAATAATCATTTCCTCACAATGCAAAGCCATGTATATGATAAACAGGTATTAAATTAACAGAATCAAAATTCCATTAGATTTTCCAAGTTGAACTTATTCACTTTATTTGGACAAATCAATCTGAGCTATATGATGATTTGAATCCAATTTAATTCACCACTACACATTAGGTGAGATTCAGTTAATGAATCTTATCTGAACTCTTTAGATAGAAAGTTCTCTCTTTGCAATAAGAGCCAAGTACCTCTGTTATCATCAGGTGGAGAAGTCACCAATGAAATCTGAAGGTAAGAATGAATTTCAAAGCAACATGCAGAATATTTCAATAAAAGAGAGACTCAAATGGATGGGAAGATGAAAAGAGAAAGGTTTGTTTCTGGCTTTGCCATGGGATAAGAGTAGAGAAATAATTGTGGGTCTGTTGGTGGGTAAGAATCATTTTGTTTTATTTCTCAAATTTGCCTTTAATTTCCTAAACTTGCATAATTTAGGCTTACTTATTTTTAACTGTGGACAAAAATTGATTTTGGTAAATTGCTTGAAAGAAGCTTTTATGTATCACATGGGGAACATGTTATTATCTGAAGAAATTGAATACTATGTTAGGTATCATAAAAGTAATAACATTAAACATTAAACTTTAGGATTTATTAAATGGTGAGTTGATTAATAAGAACTAGATTTTTGTGTCATTTAGAATGAATGATTTGTGTACGGTGCTCAAGGCCACATGCCATTTCTTTTCTATATATTTCATAAATTCTTCTACCATAGCCATCAGCAAACGGAGCTACATTTATTATTTTTCTAAGGTTTTCTATTCAATTATCCATCTCTAATTTTTATACCATTTCCTATGTCATTTCAAAGTGAACATAAAAAATGCCCAAAATGAATGACTTTTTATTTTGCATCTCAGATATCATACTCTAATCATTTCAAACAATAGTTCCTAACCTTTGATACATTGACATTTAAAAAAAAAAACTCTTAATGATTTACATCACTCTGATTATCTTGTTTAATATTTCTTTTTTATTTTCCAATTTCTCCATTTGATGTTTCCCAGATTCCCAAAACACACTCAGCTTTACCATATTTGAGACTGCCCCAAAGCCCTGTACATTGCTCATGAGGGTTGGCGAATACAACTAATAATTAAAAAACAAGCATGAACTTTGAATATAGATATCCAGGCTTGCCCCTTTTTAAAATTAAGCCATCATAAACTACTTACCCTTTCTGATCTTTAGCCTACTAGTTAATAAAATGGAATACTGTCTACTTCATGTTCTTGTATGGTTTGGAATAATCTGTGTAAAAATTCCAGTAGATTATAACTGGCATTGCATAAGTGCTCAATAATTGAAAATAAGTATTATCTGTTTACCAACTTTGCTGATAAGTTGCATGTAGAGTCTTCTTTTTTCCTTCTTGGGAATAAAGACCTCTTGCTTGTATCCCTCCTGCAGAGACAGGGATGTTTTTGTGCTTGTGTACCTCCTAGGATGACTCTGGCTGGTGTCCAATGTTGACCATGATGTGTTCAAGCAAAACCTGGAGGGCTGTGGAAAAGGGCTAATAGGAAGGTCTGGTCTGAACTGATTCTAAACTGTTCTGTTATGCCATAATCAAGAGTCAGAGATTTCGCTACCTTATTCTGTTTCATGGTGGCTATTTCTTTTTCCAATATTCTTCTAGATTTCATTATGTATCCATCTTTTATTATTTTTAAAACAAATCTCCAATCATGCATATACACGTATATTGCCTTTCTGAATTCTGTGAGGTATGTTTGTAAATCATTGATGGGTGTGTGGAAATTCCTGAATGTGTAGCCAGTTGATCACAGTATGGATGGCTTGGAAACCCTCAAATTTATGTTTGGCATCTGAATTGCGGACCATATATTCGGGAATGTGCCTTCATTTATGCAGTCTGTCCTGAATCCAGGAAGTTTGTTTCAGAATTTTCATAATTACTAAATTTTAGCAGAAATATAGGGCTTCTAGTCCATATTCCAGTCCTTATATACTTGTAAGCCTCATAATTTTTCATCCAAAAATTGTTTCATATGAGAATCAAATGAGCAAAAAGTGCTTAAAGCCCTTGAAATATGAGACCTTTAGTATGCTTTGAATGAATTGGCAATATCTTTTTTTAATAATTAGCACGACTTACATCTTGAGAAATTTCAATCCCCATGTACATCCGTAACATGCAAGATTGACCATATAGACAACAACATGGCGGTTTGCTCTAGTCATCTGTTTGGTAAAGGCTGAGCTGATCTGAAGACAGAGTTTAAACTCTTTGGAGCTTTATGCACTAATAATCCACATTATTAGACATTACATGGAAAATTATGTGAGTGAATAAAATAAAATGTTTCTTAGATTGATAAAGCTAATGAAACAGAAGTATACATTATTCTCTATGAAACAGTACAAGGAAAGAACAAAGAAATAGAAGACCATCACTAGAGCACAGTAAAGATTTCCATGAGGTAGATCTACAAACAGTTGCTAAACTTGTACAAATGTTTAAGCAGAAAAATGTTTTTTTCTCAAGGACCTTCACCAAGTGGGATGATTTCTAGATGCAAAGTGGGATTGAAGACTAGCTCTTGGTATAGAGAGAGGACACTAATGCAAAACTGATGAAGTTCCAAAGAATTCTGCTGTTTACCCAATCATATCATACAGAGGTTGATCTCCTTGTTTAGTAACTGTTCTAGGATTTTTTGAGATATTGATACAGGAAAGGATGGTTGAGGACAGTGCAAGAATTCTGTGTTATTGTTGGAACACTGTGTATTTCCAAAAAGTCTTAAAATTGAAAAGTTAAAGAAAAACATAACTCATTGCTATTGCCAGAGCCTCATTCTGGGAGAAGAGGATTGAGTTCAAAAGAGAAAAGGGAACTTTTTGGAGTGCTGAAGTTGGTATATGTGAATATATTTACTGTGATGATAATCATATGACTGTATTTGTTTTTTAAATATTCAGCATAGCATATACTCAATTAGGTTCAGTTATATTTAAACTGTAATAACAAAGATGCATTTTTGTGTTTAATGTATATGGATTACAAGGTAAATTAATTTTTCATTATTATTATTTTTTAAACATTATTTATCTACCTATTTGAGAGGCAAAGTTACAGACAGAAAAATTTTCCATCTGCTGGTTCACTTCCCAAATCCCACAATGGCTGGAGCTGGAATGATCCAAAGCCAGGAGCCAGGAACTTCTTCCAGGTCTCTCATGAAGGCAAAGGAGCCCAACCACTTAGGCCAACTTTCACTTCTTTCCCAGGCCATAAGCAGAGAACTGGATTGGAAGAAGAATAGCCAGAGCATAAACTGGTGCCCAGGCACCACAGGCGGAGGCTTTGCTTACTATTCCACAGTGCCAGCTTTGGTAAAATGCATTTTTTTAATTTACATGTTACATTAATCTGATAGCTTGCAATGACTTATTCTATTTTAAAACCAATTAATGTGTTTATATGCTATTTTAATTTATTCAATTTAGCGATTCTCCCAAAATTTAGAATAATATGCACTGAACTAATATCTTGCAGGTTAATTGAGCACAGATTCTGAAAAAAAAATTGCCATTATATGTCTTGTTTTTTTGTGTTTTGTGTCATTATCATGCCTTAGACCCAGAAATTAACTTTATTCATTTAATCTTAATATAGTGATAGCAAAAATAGATTAGAATTACTGCATTTCTCACAAGGAATCAGGTGTCGCATTTAAACAGTTTCATGGAATATTTTATTTAATTGTCAGAACAATTATGGGAGTTGTATATTATCACTACTAATTCAGAGTTTAGCAAATTATGGTTCATAGAAATTATATAAATCAACAAATTAACTCAAGTAGCATGTGCTGAAGCCTAGGTATAACCCAGAGTGTGATATTGCATTCACGAGCACTGTTACACTGATCACACTCCAGTTTGTTTTTCACTGTGTTGTAAAATGTGGGATCATTTCTCAAGCTAATTTAGTCCTTCTCCCACATTATACAATAAACATAAAGAATAAAATGTCAAATACCTGTTTATTGACTATCAAATCTAAAACCGCACTTGATGAAAAAAAAAAGAATTTAACTTTTTTTTCTTATTTTTACAAGTGATCCCTAATTACAAAAGCGTTACTTGCTAATTAAGTATTTTATTACTGGATTAGAAATGCTCTGTGGTTTGAAGGGAGATAGTACACAGCATGTTCAAATCAACAAAGGACATGAGATTCTTTTTTTCTTTCTTATGTTTCAGGCTTTAATAATGTCTACCCTCATATACAATAGTTACATCTTAGCTTTTGTACAAAGATAACATTGGAAAGAGAAATAAAATTATAAGGAAAAATGTTTAAAATAATATCACAACTTTTAATGATTTCAAAAGAAAGACTTACAAAGCTTAAATAAGCCCCTTGTGTTAGCAAATTGAAATAGTTAATATTTATGTGGGAGGATGTAAGATAATATTACTTTAGGCATTTTTAATGCTACTTTAACATTTATGGAATGTCAAAAATCTTCAAGACCAGTGTAAATCCCAAAATGTTTATATAGTTTAAGACAGTAATGGGCTTTCCAGAACATAAAACTACTAAGTGTATGTAAAAAATGTTTCTACTTATTATAATGTAGTATGCGTAACATGTTAGTTAAAAAATAGAATTCTAGCCACTTTTTCCTTCATTTGTATCCTTTTCCCTCTGTTTGAAAGTTGAGTTTTTATGGTACAGATCTAATATCTCTCCCTCTGTCACACTTATCTAGCACAATTCCAACTCAGGTTATACCCAATTATCTGTCTATTTCATGCCTCCACCCAAGCAGTTGATTGCAGCTGGAGCAAATCTCTTAACTGATTAGCTTTTCTCAACCTTCATGGTAAAAACAGATGTCAATCAAAAATTCCTGCTGGGATTGAAATCTAACCTCTTCACTTTCACTCTGGATTCAATCCACATTTATTTTATCTAGAGTTTATGTATCTTGTCTCTCTATATCTGATTCCCTGCTTCTCTTTTTCTATCCAGTAATGTTTTCCACCTCCCTTTTTTAAAACTTGGTAGTGAATCCTAGGTCTTTATCTTTTGAGAAAATTTAATTAATTTTATCACTTTTTTGAGTCCTAGGTAGACCTTTTCAAACCTTTTGTTTCAACAATCTTCTCTGGAATTTTGTAATGGTATATCATATAAACATGTTCTCTCTATTTACAAAAAAAAAGGACCTCGACAATGATATCCTTTCATCAAAGTACCAATGTTGCCTTTAGTATAAATTTTCATTATTAATATTAAAGTGATAATTTTAAACCATTGATCTATTATTTTCCTTTGAAATACTTTGTCAACTTTAAATACTCAGATTCTTTGTGTTAGTCATAATATGAGTGTAGTGTATAAAGGTATAATTTTCCTTAAATTTAATTCTCTTTGTGCTTAGTATACTCCATGAATCTGTTGGTAGTGTTATGTATCAATTTTGGAAATGTTTCATTTAATGATTTTTTTTTCTGCTATTCTGCCAAATTTTTGTCTTTCTCATTTGAATTCGAACTGCAAATATATTAAATTTTAAAATTTCATCCTCTATTATTTTCTTTTTTTAGATTTATTTATTTATTTGGAAGTCAGAGTTACAGCAAGATGGGGAGAAACAGAAAGAGGAGAGAGACCCTCCATCTGCTGGTTCACTCCCCAAATGGCCACAATGACCAGGGCTGGGCCAGGTGGAAGCCAGGAGCTAGGAGTTTTATCTAGTACTTCCATGTGGATGTAGTGGCCCAAGCATTTTAGGCCATCCTCTGCTGCATTCCCAGGCATGTTATCAGGCAGCTGAATCGGAATTGGAGGAGCTGGGATTTGAACCGGTACCTATATGGAATGCCAGCACTGCAGACTGCGACTTAACCCACCGTGCTACAGCACCAGCCCCATCTACTATTACTTTCTGTTTTTTATGTTCTCACTACATAAAATTAAACGTTGTCTGTGTACCTCCATTTAATTAATCAGTTACCAATTTTCTGCTCTGTAGTGAGTCCAATGCATTTTTTATTTTAAATATGATCTCATTTAATTCTAAAATATTGTTTATAGTTTTAAATCAGCATTCTATAGATTTTCAGATATAAATGTTTGAACATAATAATCCTAATATTTGACAACTCTGTATCTGTGCCAATGTGTTTCTTTCCCTTTTTATGTTTAATCACCTTTTTTTTGAGACAGGCAGAGTGGACAGTGAGAGAGAGAGACAGAGAGAAAGGTCTTCCTTTTCCGTTGGTTCACCCCCCAATGACCACCGCAGCCTGCGCGCTGCAGCCGGTGCACTGTGCTGATCTGAAGCCAGGAGTCAGGTGCTTCTTCTGGTCTCCCATGGGGTGCAGGGCCCAAATACTTGGGCCATGCTCCACTGCACTCCCAGGCCATAGCAGAGAGCTGGCCTGGAAGAGGGGCAACCGGGACTAGAACCCAGTGTGCCGGCGCAGCAGGTGGAGGATTAGCCTATTGAGCCGCGGTGCCGGCCTGTTTAATCACTTTTTTCATGCCTTATAAGTTTATTTCCAGAGCTGGTTGATATACTGGAAGATGTCTTCAATTGCTGGTCAAAATCCTCTTTCAAAAAATTAAATTTTCTTTTGCTACACATATAGAGTTCTAATAGATGATGCTGAATGTATTGAGGACTACATTTGGGATTTGCTGAAGCCAGCACTTTTCAGATTTAGCCATACCTACTGGAGAAATCATTAGTCTTGATGTAGTACTGGGCCTCCTGGATCTGCACATATAAATTAAATGAAATTTGTTCTCTTAGTGTAACTTTTTCTGGTTTTGGAATTAAGGTGGTACTGGCCTCATAGGAGGCATTTAGTAGGATTCTCTCCTTTCAATTGTTTTGAATAGTTTGAGAAGAATTATAATTATTTTCTCTTTAAAACCTTGGTAGAATTTAGCAGTGAAGCTATCTGGCCCTGGGCTTTTCTTTGTTTGGAGGGTCTTTACTAATGATTCACTCTCTTGGTTATTGATCTATTTACATTTTCTATGTCTCCATGACTCAATTTTGATAAGTTGTATATGTCTAGAAATTCTTCCATTTCGTCTAGCTTTTCCAATTTGTTGGAATATAGCTCTTTATAGCGATGCGTAATGATTCCTTTATATTTCTGGTGTACTCATTGTAAAATCTCCTTTTGTATGTCTGGTTTTATTAATTAGGATCTTTTTTTTTTTTCTTTGGTTCGTTGGGCCAATGGTGCATCAGTTTTTTTTTTTTTTTTCCAAAAAAAGCTTTTCATAAGCTTTTCATTTCACTGATCTTTTGTGTCACTTTTTGTTTTATTTTCAGTTTTGTATATTTCGTCTCTAAATTAATTGTTTCCTCCTACTCATTTTGGGTTTGTTTTGTCCTTGAAATGCCTTTTTTATCATTTGTTTGATGTCTTTACAATATCTTGATGTAGGAACTATTTGTTATAAAATCCTCTCTTTGCTCTGCTTTTGCTGTATCCTATAAGTTTTGGTATGTGTGTTGTCATCTTCATTCATTTCCAGGATTTTTTTAATTTCTCTTTTGATTTTTTCTATGACCGACTATTCATTCAGAAGCATGTTGTTCACTTTTAATGTGTTTGCTTATTTTCTAGACTTTTTTAACTAGCTAGTTTCCAGCTTAATTCAATTGTAATCAGCAAATATACATGATATGATTTTAAATTTTTCTGAATTTGTTGAGACTTGCTTTACGGCCTAATATATGGTTTATCCTAGAGAAAGTTCTATGCACTGATGAAGAGAATATGTTTCTGCAACTGCCTCTTTGAACAGAAACTGCTTTTTTCAGATCAAACTTCTAACCTTGTAACTTCATTTAAGGATAATTACTTTCTTAGAAACTGCTACTATAAACACATTGGAATTTATGGCTTCCGCATGGGAATTTAGGGAGGTATACATCATTTCATTAATAGATGCCATATTTAAAAAGGTCACATACTTCAGTTTAGGTAACACATTAACTGTTTCTGATACATTGCCATTGCAATTTGTTCTGTTTTCCATTAGGATAGTTGTGTATTTAGACAATAGATAGTAATATATTCTTTTACTCTGTTTTCTAGAATAAGAGTTTAACTCTATTAGCATTGTACAATTATAAGTATAGTCTGCTTTTAATTTCTTTAGGTAGCAATATCAAAAGAAATTTGAAAATTGGCCAGCGCCGCAGCTCACTAGGCTAATCCTCCACCTGTGGTGCCGGCACACCGGGTTCTAGTCCCGGTTGGGGTGCCGGATTCTGTCCCGGTTGCTCCTCTTCCAGGCCAGCCCTCTGCTGTGTCCAGGGAGTGCAGAGGAGGTATGATTTCCATCTTTTAAAATGTAGTATAACTTGATTTGTAACCTAATATATGGTGTATCCTAGAAAACATTTCATGTGTTGATGAGAAGAATGTGTATTTTGTAGCTGTTGGATGAAATGTCCTGTAAATGTCCATTATGTTCATTTGTTCAATAGTATGTTTCAATGTTTCAATTCTGATATGTCTTTATTGATATTCTGTCTTGATGATCTTCCCTTTGATGACAGTGGGGTATTGAAAGTACCCATTATTATTGTATTGGAGTTTATTTCTCCCTTTAAAGGTCTAATAGTATTTGCTATATTTGTATGGGTGATTTTGTGTTGGATGCATATATTTATGATTGCTATGTCTTCATGCTAAATTGATTTTTAATACATAATGTCTTTTCTTTGTGTCTTTTTATAGTTTCTGATTTTAAATGTTTTATATGAGATGAGTATAGCTATCCTGCTCATTTTTTATTTTCATTTACCTGGTATACATTTTTCCAGCCTTTCAGTTTCAGTGTGTATATATCTTTATTTGTGAAGTGAGTTTCTTGTAGGCAGCATATAGTGGGGTCTTGGATATTTATCTATTCAAATAACCTAATTTTTTAAAATGGAGAATTTAAACCATTTCCATTCAAGGTTGGTACTGATAGGTAACAATTAACACCTGTCATTTTATTGATCGGTTACTGATTATACTTGCTCTGTTAGTGAATTTGGTAGTGTCTTGTGTTTTCATGCTTACTTTTTTTTTTAAAAAAAATCTGTCATGTGCTCTGGATGGATATAATTAAATAATTAAGGCCACAGAGATATTGTAAATATACGTAAAGATATGAAAAACATAGCATTCAAGTTTGAAATTACATATTTCAACATTTATTTCAAGTGCACACATATACTTTCTTCTTTTTTATGTATATGTATATTATAAATACAACATTAGGAACACAGCAATTCCTCCCACAGAACCTGCTCTCCTCCACACCCTCCCCCTTCTCAGTCCAAGAAATAAAAGAAAAAAAGAAAGAGAAAAAGAATGTGTGTAATAAAAAACCCAAGAGAACTATTCCTCAACAGTCCAGACAAGGGTCACTCAATGTTATTGATTCTCAAAGGGCAGATCTGTGGACCCAAAGACTCCCCTCTCACCTGGTCTGTCGGGGCCAGCACTCTGCTCCCTGGGTAAAAGACTCTGCTGTTCTTTTTTTTTAATTTTTTCTTATTTGCTGTTAGCATGGACCTGGACCATCTCTGCTGTTCTTGCTGGTTTCCTGCTAAGAATTCCCCATGGCTTTATCTAAGGCATGTATTTTCTCCCTTTTTTACATATTAATTTTGCCCTGCGTGATTCAGATCTCCCTGTCACTATTCTGCCATCTTGGATCCCTCCTCCCACCCTCATTTTTACTTCTAATGTTAGATTTCCTTAAGATTGTAAAGGTGGTCTGGTGGCAGTGAATTCTCTCAGGTTTTGTTTATTTTGAGAATAACATGTCTCTATCACTTCTGAAGTGGAATATTAGTCAGCTATAAAAGTGAATGGCATTCTGCTATTTGCCACAAAATGGATGTCACTGGAGGACATCATGCCGAGTGAAATAACTGAGACAGAAAGACAAATATTGCATGTTTTCCCTTATATGTAAGACCTAAAGTTAAAAAAAAATTAAAAAATCATATGTGTATCATATAATAGCTTTGTCACATTTTGTTTTATATTGAGATTTGATTATCGTTTTTAGTCCTTCTCTATGCTCCCAAGGAACAGTGGTTTTCCTACCTTTACTTATTGATTCCTTTATTAAGTGGAGGGTTAAGCTTCTGATTATAAAGTAAATTGAACCTGTGTCTTTGCAAAAATTAAAAGAAAAAGAAGAAGGAGGATAGAAGGTAGAAGAACAGAGGGAAGGAAAGGAGGCTGATATGTATTGTTATGTTCTTGAAACTGTTTATACGAAATACATAAAATTTTTTCCTGTTATGTAAATAAAAAATAAGTGAAAGATTAAAAATAAAAACAGAATAGAAATGTCAAAAAAATTGCCAAACCTCATCAAAATTTACTTCTTTATGTATTTTTCTATGTATAGGTATATAAAATGCAAACAAACATTTGTTCGAACAGCAATTAATATGAAATAGCATCTAAAAGAAGTGAAAATGAAAAACAGGTAGCACGAGAATGCATTTATTGTGAACCTTGAAATCTAACCATTGTACAAATAAATCTAATGAACCATTTTTTTGAAAATGTCCCTGGGTTTTGTTTTCATTAGGGGAGTTATACATACAGAGCTGGAGATCTCAAAGGAAGAAGCCTTTAGCCATAGTTTCCTGGAAGCAGGTCACATTGCACAGAAGTTCTCAGAGCGCAGGGTCAGTCAGGAGACAGACAGGGAAAAACTGTAGGAGAGCTTTTTCTGTGGTTCTGGTACCAAAGAACAGTCAGATAGAGACAGGGCAACCCAGATAAACTGGTTTAGGATGGGCTGATTTGAGTGATTTCTTTGGCTGCAGGTTGTGGGAGCTGTCCTAAGTTGTCTCGGACCTGGCACTAGGGTGATCAGGAGAGAGGATTAGTAGTAGAGAGTTTAAGTGCCCTGTGAAGGAGACAAAATGGACTGCTGGGGTGACAGAGGTTGTGTATTGATTGTTCTGCACGGAAAACAGCACATGTGCAGTAGAATACTTAACTATCTCCAAGAATTAGCTAGCTCTGGAACAAACTCTCCTTGGTGTGCAAGACCCCAGGATGTCAAAGCAGTATAAATTTTAGGGAAAAAAAAACATAGTTAATACAGCTGTTTTACCATGTATAATGCCTTGTTTTTCCTAACAGAAGCATCTGAGTATATTAAAACTGATATAAGTCATATCAGCTGCTCTTATGCAAAGTTTCAAAACACCAGTCAAGTTCTTGGATTATAGCTCTGCGGTCTGAGAAAAATCATTCCTAATATACATTGACAGCACTAGGGAAATGTAACCAAAAGCAGGGTGAAAGATATTTGGATATCTGACATGAGCCAGTCAGTTGTGAGAAAACAAGGAACAAAGGGAAATGCCCTCTTCAAGTGATTGGGATCCTTGAACCTCATGTTATTTATGTTCTATGAAAAAGACAGGAAAAGAGTCTCATAAATGTGAATTCACTTTTCCATGAATAGAGATTAAAAACTTCAATGGGGCATGTTCCTTGACCAGTGCCTTGTATTTATGCAGAAAAATGACCCCATAATACCCAGTGAGGAAATCAAAGAGAAATATTAAACTTAACGTAGAGTCACAAAAATATTTGCTAACAGACTAACTTCATAGGAGAGACCTAGGTGCTGCATTGCTGGTTTGGTTGAGAAGCCAGGTTAGCGATCCTGCCTTCCTTGTCACCCAAATCAAGTAGTCATTGGGTCACTGAGTTACTTCCTTGTCATTCATGTTTCAACTACCATCCATTAAAGAGAGACCGTGGTTTCTGTGTACTTGATGGAAAGCTTGTGTCATTTTGGTGGCTGTTTGCAGAGAATCAATACTGGAACCCTAAAGAACAAGATACAAAAACTCCTTTGTGAACCATATGGAACAAGGAATAACAGGCTTGGAATAAGGTCGAAGAATATACTCTTTCATGTCTTCCTTCTCTTCCCCAGAGGTACTTTTTTACAATAATCCCTATCACCATATGGACATGTCCTATGAGATCAAAGAATTATCCCTGCTTCTGACTAAGCCATGCTGTTTCAGCAAGGCATTTTCTAAAAAGTGTCAACATACATGTTTTGTCTCAGGTTATTTCTGGCTTAAAAAATTAATTTGTGCTAGTAGTGGCATGGAGACACATACTGCTGGAAGTGGAATAACTCAGATATTATCAGAAATTATGATATAAAAGTAGCATATTATATTTCAGTTATCTACTGCTCTGAAATGTTTGACATTCTAAAATTGTGTTTTCTTTAGGTCTATTCCATCCATACATTCTTATTGAATATTTTTGGAGTATGAAAGCTGACCAATGCTCTACCTAGGCTCTTCAGTCTGACTCTCAACGGGAAATGTCTCCAAACTCCTAAGAAGCACCTCTTAAACTTAAGCATGTGATTTTGTTTGAGTAATTGCTTAGAGATGACAGAGGCAATTGAACATGGGATTGTCCTTGAATCCTTCGGTACTTTTTTTTTCTATTCCTCATCATCTGTTTCTATCAACTTTTTACTTGTGTGCTGGACAATTAGCAGGTTTTCTCTATTAAATTCTGACTGTGGCCTCATTCACAAAATGTTTTCTTATAATGGGTAATACTATTGCAGTGTTCAACGCAATGAAAATATACCAACATTCTAGTCCACTTGACATTATTCTTTTAAAATTACAGAATGTTTTTGTTAATATTAAACAAAGCATATTTAAATAACAACGTAATGTGGTTTTTTTTAAAGGAGGATGTTGCCACTTTTTATTTATTTATTTTTATTTGATGGGTAGAGTTATAGACTGTGAGAGAGAGAGAGACAGAGAGAAAGGTCTTCCTTCCATTGGTTCACTGCCCAAATGGCCGCTACGGCCAGCGCGCTGTGCCAATCCGAAGCCAGGAGCCAGGTGCTTCCTCCTGGTCTCCCATGCGGGTGCAGGGCCCAAGCACTTGGGCCATCCTCCACTGCCTTCCCGGGCCACAGCAGAGAGCTGGACTGGAAGAGAAGCAACCAGGACTAGAACCCGGCGCCCACACGGGATGCTGGCACCGCAGGCAGAGGATTAACCAAGCGAGCCACAGCGCCAGCCCTGATAATGTGGTTTTAAAGCATTTCATTCTCCATTGTTTTTTTCCCACCTATGGACATATAATTATCTCTCTACCAACTGTAATACTTCTAGCTGTACAGTTTATTTCCATCATTGCTGAGAGAAAAATAAAAAAAAAATTGCTAAGCAGTATGTAAACAATGTGAGATATAAACATCTTCAGGAAAATATTGGAAAATGGTCAAGAAACACAAAAAGTACTGTCTTTTGGAGACTGATTCTACTGTTTAATAAAAAGATGATTTAGTTCTTTTATGTGACAGTCCAATAGAAGCATAAAACTGACTGAATGAGACTTTTAATATATTACTCTGAATTTCAAAGTAAAAGAGATTTTTGTAGTAAAATTTATGCAAAAAAAGAGAAGAACAAGGATAGGCAGGTAGAGGTTTCAGACCAAAATTCAAATGCAAAAACTGAGAAAGGTGTGATCAATAGAAGGAAAGTTATGTAGGAAAATCTTTAGACTTTAGACCCACAAAAAGTCAAACAAAGATTGCCCAGCAGACAAATTGTAAGTCAGGCAGAAATAAACCTCTTGTGCTCAGCACTGGGGGGACAGCCTAGCCAGAGTGTGCCCTTGTCAGGGACAGTGCAATAGATTCTGAAGTGAAGCAGCTGGAATGTGTCCAATAATTAGATTTCTCACATCAGGAAGATCTGAGTCGTGCACAATCATGGATAATACAGTCCAACTCTCCTATTGCACAAATCTACTTCTCATGCTTATTTGGTGAAGACCTGCTCTCTGGTTTCCATGAGGCTCTCTGCTTGATAGAAATGGAAAAGGATTTGATGAATAGGATCACCCACTGCCCTTGGTGCTGCAGTTGGTCAGAGGCAGTAACTGGAGTTCATTGCTTCTCCTCTTCTAATATCTATTCTCAGTTCTCCTCACCATCATATCTTTCTCCTGGTAGCATGACTCCAAACTGACTCTCAAGCTCTCTGAGCTGTGATAACATTATCTCTCTTACTATGAGTCTGCTGCATGTGTCCATTGAGTTACAATGGGACAGAGGAGTACCGAGCAAGTCCAAGAGGTTCACTTGAATTCCAAATATATGGTACCCTGCTTCTATTTTTTTAAAAGTAGCCACATCACAGTTCTTTTGCTGATAGATAATTCATTCCTGCCAAGGTGGTGACCTCTCTTCTGAACATCCTATTCCTGTATGCAGAAGAAAGCACAAGTCCACCATGTTCACCTAACTTGTGGGGCCACAAGATTCTGGACTTTGAAACTCTAGAATTGTAAGCTAAGTATATCTATTTTCTTTATAAAATTAATATGCCTCAGATATTTTATTATAGTAACAAAAAGCCAGATTTATAAATATACTATCAGAACTAATGAATCCCAAATTTATGTATCCAGATCTCTACATTGAATTGAAGATTGCTATGTACAATACTTATTATAACAAAATCACTTGGAAATTAACTATTTTGATTTCAAAGTACCAAAACTTTAACTTTGTATTTTTACCACCTAATATCTGCTCTTATTCCCAGGATAAATGATATTAATATTCACTCATTTTCTTGAGAACAAAATCACATATCTAATGAATGTTCAAATTCTATTGACTATAAAATTAAAATATATTCCATGTACAACTGCAGTCATTACTTTCCCAGCTTGCAGTTAGTCAAAGGGAGTATTCACACCTGAGTTATGCTAGCCAATCCTCTCTGAATGACAATTAAAGTGGCTATGGGAAGCAGCCAGGAAAATCTTTTGAAAAGTGTGTATTGGATTATGCAACCTCCACATTTAAATCCAAACACTGAGTTTGTGGTCATATTCACAATAAATCTTAAATAATTATTGTATGCAAAAGGGATTTCAGGATCTGTCCCCTATTCTAGCATTATTGCTTACTTACTGACATCCTTGATATATTTTCTTTTCTTGTTTGCTTGTCTATTTGTTTTAAATATGTATACTCACTTCTGTCACAAGTCTTTGAGGTGGCTGCCCCTTTTGCCTGGAAAATTTGTTCATTTCACTTACTTAGACAAGTTACTGCTGTAAAACATTAAATTTCTTCACCACATCAGGAAAAATTTCCATAATTCTGGATTGAAGAGATTTTTTACTATTCTGTCATATTTATCAAGACCTCATGTTTTCAATACTGTTTATTTGTTTATAGACACAATAACTAAAACAGGGCACAAGTAAAGGAACATTATCCCTTTTGTACAGTTATTCTCAGCTCATTAATATATGCATGATAATGTATGTACCTAATAAGCACCAAAAAGAGTTGATTTGTTGGTTAAATGTATGGTATCCATTAACAAGTTTCATTTTAACTTATATGCTATTTTTTTTTGACAGGCAGAGTGGACAGTGAGAGAGAGAGAGACAGAGAGAAAGGTCTTCCTTTGCCGTTGGTTCACCCTCCAATGGCCGCCGCGGCCAGCGCGCTGCGGCCGGCGTACCGCACTGATCCGATGGCAGGAGCCAGGTACTTCTCCTGGTCTCCCATATGCTATTTTAAATACTCCTAAAATAATATCTTGGTAGAGTAACTATTCTGCATATTTAGAATATTGTTGGAGCTCAACTTTCTTCCTTCTTGAATTTTGAATGTGTAAGGCAAGTAATGTATTACTTTCAGTTGAAAGGTAAGCAATGTAAAAGACACATGGAGCAATGTTACACTTTAACAATAATTTAAAAGTGTGATGTACAACATATTCTTCACTTAATTCTCATAATAACCAGAAAATGTGAATATAATCTACAGACCACAAAAACTGAGACTGTGATTTAATCACATGTTTTTCTTTTAAATGATTTTCTCGGTCATTCCAATGTTACTTGTAACTGAATAATTTTTATTACAGCATATTGTCTACTTTAAAATGGCCTTTATCACATCCATTGAAATAAGTCAGTTTTGTGGCAACTCCTTACTTCATAACATTTGGGAGAAAAGGTGTGAAAAACTACAGCCTACTTTGAATATCTGTTTTTAACACAGCAGTCTTGTTTAAATGGTAATTCATATGACCTTTATCACAGGTCACTCACAGTCTGACCAGGTGAACTATATATATACCCACTGATTTCTGTTGTAAATATTCTGTGTGGATAGATGAAGGTGAGATAGAGAGTAGTGACTGTAGATGGATAAGGATCTCTCTGTGGCATATCATGTTATAATTTTTTCCCCAGAGATTAAGATCTGGCCATGGCAACCATTTGGGGAGTGAACCAGCAAATGGAAGATATCTCACCTCTCTCTGTATCTCTGACTTTCAAATAAATACATAAATCCTTAAAATAAAAAAAAAAAACTCCAATTTAGAGAAAAATCTATTCAAATGATTTTGCCTCTCCCCTCCATTTCAAAGGTGATTTCTTTGTTATTAGTTGTTGAGTTATGCGAGTCTTCATATTCTGCTTCATATTCTGCATGATAGTTCCTTCTCAGATATGTGATATGTGAATTTTGTCTCAGCATGTGAGTTAGTTTTTTCCATTATTCACAATGTGCATTGAAATATAAGAGGTTTTATTTTTGTGATGCCAAATTCACATTCCTTTTCTTTTTAAATTTGTGCTTTTAAAGTCTTATTGAAGAAACCATTGTCTAAGTAAATGTCACTAAGATATACTCAATCTTTTTCTTCTAAGAGTTTTATAGTTGTAGTTTTTACTTTTATGCCTATGATCTATTTGGATTAATTTTGCAGATGATATCATGTAGAAGTCCAAATTCAGTCTTTGAAGGTGATTTTCCAGTTGTCTTGTTCTTGGGTTGCAAAATCTTAAAATCGATTAGGAAAATGTATGACCTATCAAAATGATATTGAATTAAATTAATTTAAACCCTATTTCTCTCCTAAAATTTCATGAGATGCATCAAAGCATTTGATAGCTTAATAGGAAAATGCCAGGGAGGCATAATATCCACCTCTTCAAGATAGATGCTCCTTACCTGAAGTGTCTATTTCCATGGAACACTGCAAAATGGTATGGGCATCTCAAGCATGAAGTGGCTTTGGGGAAGTCAATAATTTAGAATGTCAGCTCCACAGAATTCAGCTGCCTTTGAAATAGAATGGTTTGATCACACATTTACACTTTCAAATTGGAAAGCCCAAGAAAGCCCTATCAGCCAGAACACTGCCAGAGGATCTTACAGCCAAATATCAATATATTATATCAATATCAATATAATAACACAAATAGTTTCCTAGGATGCACTTTCAGCCTCCTTGGAAAACAGGTATACTTTTGTTAGAATCTGCCATGGAATTCATGGTTCAATCACACTCTCCACCAGGATCTCTTATACCCCACAAGCCTGTCATTTTTCACCAGCCAATTTCTATTTTAATTCTCAGTTTAAATGTCAGTTCCTCAAACAAGTGCTTCCATAATGGCTCAATTTTACTAAACTTATATGTGATTTTTACTTAAGAATATTTTATAGTAGCCTATTATTTGCCTTGAAATGACACATTGACATGTTGAAAATATTTATAAAAGCTAGAACTGAAACACAAGTAGGCTCAACGACTGGGAAGTCAAATGCTTTGCTTAAACCTCAGGTGCATCACATACTACTCATGTGATCATAGTCATGGTAGTTAGCTGTTCCTCAATTTCTTCATTCTATAAAATGGGAAACATTGTTAACTTAGATAAATACAGAGTAAAGGAAGCAGTGCATTGCCTGTATATAACTACTAGCAATCAATATTATGTTCATTCCTTCTTTTTTTTATATTTTCTACTTTTCTATAGGTTCCACAAGGGAAATATACATGCTTTTTTGTGTTCTGTGATTGGTGCCTATCACACTCCTTGATATATAAGAGGTGTTCAAATTATTTATTGGTGTTATTGAGTATGGCATATTCAAAATTGGTTGGTGCTATGGAGATCTGAGATCTCATCTTTTGTTATAGTTAGATAATCACTCATCTTATGTATATTTTCCCACCTTTTATCATTTAGCTTTAGTCAATTTTTAAAATATAATCATGGTTACCATGATGTTTTCATTTCTTTTTTTTTTTTTGCTTAAATTATACCTTTAAGCAGAAGTTCTATATTGATTATCTACTTGCTCAAGGACAGAGTAGACAGAGAATGTAGAAAATAGGGTGTGAGCAAGTCACTTTCAGAATGTGTGCTCATAACATTCCATTCCCCTGTGGGGAGCAGCCCGGACTGGACTGAGTTACTGGAATTAAGACTTATTCTATGCATCTGCTCTCCCACAATATGGCGCTGGGAGAGAAGTAAACAGCTTCCGCACAGCTGCCTCCAGTTCAACCAATAAACTGTAGGACTTGCTACTGATTGGAGGAGAGCAGCGTGCTCGGCGTGTGGGCAGCCGAGTTGGGATTGGCGGAGGAGGACTATAAAGGAGGAGAGAGACGGCATGCACCAGGAACATCTATGGGGAACATCTAGCTGAAGGAACACCTGTGCAGCCCCCAAGAAGAGCCGGCCGGCGGTGTGCCGCTCCCCTGCGGAAGTGGGGATGTGGCCAGGGGGAACTGCCCTTCCACGGAGGTGGAAGGGATAGTAGCCAACCCGGGAAGAACCAGCAGCAAACCCGGGGAAGGCCGAGCAGACGAAAGAACAGCGCAGGGTCCTGTGTCGTTCCTCCACGAAGAGGGGGAGCGACATTCCCCTCCTGCTTAATCACCTGGGGACATATTTTTGTACTATCCCACAACTCCCAAACCAGTTCCATGTGAGCAGAATGTTTGCAAGGTTCAAGTGTAGTCCCTTATGTTTCAAGATTGTATGAGTATCTTCAAAAAGTTCATGGATAATGTGGACACTATGAGAAACAGTGACTTGATCAGCTCTTGTCCTGATGGTTGATGTACAATGTAATACTTTATCCATTTTAGTATTTTTTTTTATGTTCTAGTCCCATTGGTTGAACTCTGTAATTAATATACAATTATTCTTAGGTGTTTAAATTTTAACTGAAAAGTGATCCCTGTTAGGAATTTGGAAAACATTATGCTGAGTGAAATAAGCCAATCCCAAAGGGACAAATACCACTTGTTCTCCTTGATAGGTGACAACTAACTGAGCACCAAAAAGGAAACCTGTTAAAGTGAAATGAACACTATGAGAAACGGTGACTTGATCAGCCCTCACCCTAACTGTTGATGAGCAACTTGATATGTTATCTCTCTTAGTATTTTTTTTTGTTTGTTCTACTTAATACTTTTGGTTGAATACTGTAATAAATACATAATTCTTCTTAAGTGCTGAAACTTAACTGAAAAGTGATCGCTGTCAAATGTAAGAGTGGGAATAAGAGAGGGAAGAGATGTGCAATTCGGGACATGCTCAAGCTGACTTACCTCAAATGGTAGAGTTAGAAACATACCAGGGGACTCGAATTCAATCCCATCAAGGTGGCATGTACCAATGCCATCTCATTAGTCCCAGTGATCAACTTCTGTTCACAATTGATCATAAGGATAGGACTAAGAACCAAAGGGATCACATAAACAAGAATAGTGGCTGCAAATACTAGCTGATAGAATCAAAAAGGGAGAGAATGATCCAACATGGGAAGTGATATACACAGCAGACCCATAGAATGGCAGATGTCCTAAATAGCACTCTGGCCTCAGAATCAGCCCTTAAGGCATGGGGATCTGGCTGAAATGCCCATGAGAGTATTTCAGGCATGGAAAGCCAAGACACTCTGGGGAAAAAAGAAAAAGAAAAAAAAAAAAAAACCTAAATGAAAGATCTCTGTGAGTGAGATCCCCGTGGATCAAAGAAGGAGGTACCTTTCTCTGAAAGGAGGAGAGAACTTCCACTTTGACCATGGCCTTGTCTAAAAATTATCAGAGTCAGTGAACTTATGGGGCTTCCATAGCCTTGGCAGCTCATGACAAGAGCCTAGGGTGATTACTGAGGCCATAAACAAGAGTGTCCATTTGTTAAGTCAACAACAGGAGTCACTGTGCACTTACTCCTCATGTAGGATCTTTGTCCTTAGTGTGTTGTACATTGAGATTTAATGCTATAACTAGTACTCAAACAGTATTGTTCACTTTATGTTTCTGTGTGGGAGCAAACTGTTGAAATCTTTACTTAATGTATGCTAAACTGATCTTCTGTATATAAAGAGAATCAAAAATGAATCTTGATGTGAATGGAAGGGGAGAGTGATTGGGAAAGGGGAGGGTTGAGGGTGGGAGGGACGTTATGGGGGGAAGCCATTGTAATCCATAAGCTGTACTTTGGAAATTTATATTCATTAAATAAAAGTTTAAAAAAAAAGAAAATACTAACCACAAGTTTAAAAAATGTTCTACCGAAATAAATTCATCCTTTAATTTCATTTTTCCATAAACTGTTTAAAGACTCACATATGTTTTAGTTTAGTCTAGATTTGTTTGATCATTGTTGGGATGATTTTTATCAACAGTTACAGTCATTTAGGACCAGTGTTACCTTTTTTGGAAAGGTGAGCCTTATATTTCTACATTCTCTTTCAGTCTATTAGAAATTTTTCCATAACTTAACAAATATATTTTCTTTAGTTGTCTTGTGTTTTAATACTTCTTATGAAATTCAAGAGAAATAAAACTTTAGCTAATTCAAGCTACTCTTAGTTTACTTACACATTTTCCTACTGGATGTTAAAACCTTACAAATCAAGGATACTTGTACAGTCTTCTAAGTTATAAATATTCAATAAATAATCATTGAATATCTTATATATAAGTTAAATATGCACATATATGTGGAGATATCAAGTCCATATGCAGATCTGAAGTTTAATAAACAGAAAATTTATAATTAAACATTTTCATAAAAAATATTCAAAATTATATCACAATTACAAATATACGACTTAATAAATATGCCATAGTGATGAATAACAGATTCGTTAATTTTGTTTAAGAATATGTCTCTATGTCTTTAAAGTAATAGAGTTCAGGATGGTGACTTTATAATACCCCACTTAACACCCACCAAAGATTATGGTCATAAACCTCTTTGAAAGTAATCTCCATTATCTCTTTTAGCTGGTTTCTGTGATTTGGATACAATACCCAGATTTTTTTAAGCTTTCAGCTTATTCATCATGCTGTCAGGTAAAACTTCATCAAAGGTTTCTTTTCAAGAAATCAAAGGAACTGACTTCATAGATACATGCTATATATACATATGAGAAGCTGAACTCATTTAATGACATTTCTAGTTGAAGTTATTAATGCATAATCTGACTGGGTCTTTATGGCAAACTGTGATTTCAAAAGAAATCAGAGCTATTCTTTCTCTATTCATCTCTAGTCATAAAAATATATATTTTAAAAATTTATTTATTTTTGAAAGGCAGAGTTACAGAGAGGCAGAGGCAGGGGGAGAGAGAGAGAGAGAGGTCTTCTATCCACTGGTCTACTCCCCAAATGGTCACAATGGTTGGAGCTGAGCTGATCTGAAGCCAGGAGCCAGGGACTTCTTTTGGGTCTACCACGTGGATTCAGCGGCCCAAGGACTTGGGCCATCATCTACTGTTTTCCCAGGCCACAGCAGAGAGCTGGATCAAAAGTAGGGTAGCTGGGACTCAAAGCAGCACCTATATGAGATGCTGGAAGTGTAATTGGCAGTTCTAACCATGCCACACTATGCCACAGTACTAGCTCCATAAGATATATTTTTAATGTATTCGGAAAAAAATGTACATTGTATTGATATTTTGAAAATTTTTATCACTGATGTACTTCAAGATTTTGCAAGTAGTTGGGAAAAATATTCAAATTAAGTTGTTTTAATAATTTGAATCGCATTTTACATTTTAATGTATTTTAGATTAATGTCATACTGTCTTAAACATATAATTTCTGTGTTGTGTGAAACTGGCTATTTAGCATATAGTCTTTAGTGTGACGGATTTATCACTTTTATATATTAAGCTCCACGACAATGATTCAAATAAAGCATTTCGAATAAAACAAATGTAACAGCCACAAGGAAACCCAGCACACAATGTTTTAGGTTATTTGAAAAGCCTGATATAAACCTCCTGTGTCAAATCTGAGGCTCTAAGCTTCCTAGTCTTCAGGTTGCACTCTTGGGCCCTGGAGGCAGAACCTTGAACACAACCCCAGCTCTGAGACTTAAGGATCATAGGTGCTCCACCATGCCACCAGCCTTTCAGGACCTGAGTCCCAATCTGCACACAGCAATAGTAATAATCATTTTCTCATAAAGCTGAGGCAGTTTTAAACTACCCTGAATTTTGCGAAGAGAATATATCCATGCAATTGAAGACCTGATCATGAACCTTTCCTGGCTCTGGAAGTTCTCCTTGAGCTCACTTTGTATCATATGATCCTAAATAATCACTGTTTTGATGTCTGATAGCTCAGAATACTTTTGCCTGCTTTCTATCTCCAGTCAGTGGAATCATGCATTTGCACACACATAAATAATACTGTTGGTCTTCTTTTAAAGAATTAAACTCTAAAAAGTTAAGATCAGTTCAGAGAATAAGGAAACATTTAGAAAGAATATGAACTTTTATCCAGGAGTCAAAAACAGTTGTCAGTTTTACAGAGTATACAAAGGAATAGTCTTCTACACAGATGAATTTTTCTGGTGTTGTGGTTAGGTTTAAAGACAGGAAAACTTAGAAGTAGAGGATGAATTTGTATGAAAACATATAAACTTACTTCAGCAACTTTTATTATACACGCATTCATTAAGTACTTCCTATATTCTGAGCTCTGTGTTAGGCACTAGAAATGCAGATGAGAGGGAAGTGAACAAGCACACAGTTTAGTAGAGAGAAAAAGAAAGGTAAATGATTTTGTACAATATAATAAATGGCAAATGGAAGTCAGACACAGGGGTGGTATCTGATCTTGACAGCATAAATTATCCATCAGCAAGGATACTTCCTAAAGGCAGGAAAAATCTGAGAAGAGAGATGAGCAAGGGAGGCAAGAATATTTCAAATACTCCATGACATGGAGTCTATACTCCATGACTAAAGAGTTAAAACTATAATCACAACTGAACTTTATCAGCAGTTGGGGAAGACTTGTACGAAATTAGGCAATGAAAACTCAATGAATTCAATAAAAAGAGAATATTTGTTGCATGCAGGAGGAAGAGTTTGGTTGTGGGCTAATTGACTTTGGGGATATATTCAGAGCATCCGGGTGAACACAGCACCATGTGCTTGTGTGATGGCTGAATTGGGTCCTCATCCCCACCCCCAAATCATATGTTGGAGCCCTGACTCTCTGGTGGATGATATTTGGAGATGAAACCTGTGGAAGGCAATTGGGTTTAAAGGAGATCAAGAGAGTAGTTTCCTCATAAATGAGATCAATGCCCTTAAAAGAAGATACACCAGAGATCTGACCTCCTCATTCTTTTTCCACCTACACACACCCAAGAGCTGCCATCTGAACACATGATGAGAAGACAGCTATCTACAAGCCAGGAATTGAACACCAGGGAACTAAATTGGCCACCACATTCATCTTGGACTTATCAGCTTCCAAACAAGAGATACATGTTTCTGCTGTTTAGCCTCCTGGTCTAGAGCATTCTGGTATGACAACCTGAGCTTACTAAGACACTTTGGAGATGTTATACTTTTCTTTACTTGGTCCATTCGTTTCTGTCATTCTTTTATTGAATAAGCTGGAAAGCTATATGGTGGGGCTGGCATTTTGGTGCGGCAGGCTAATCTGCCGGCTGTAATGCCAGCATCCCACATGATCACAGGTTTGAGTCCTGATGTTCCACCTCTGATCCAGCTACCTGCTGATGGCACCTAAATGCTTGGGGCCATGCTACTCCCATGTGGGAGACCAGGATGGAGTTCCTGGCTGCTAGGTTCCACCAGGCCTAACGCTGGCCTTTGCTGTCATTTGGGGACTGTACAGTGAATGGGATATCCTTCTCTCTCTCTGTCACTCTCTCTGTCTCTCTGTGTCTCTCTCTGCCTGTCGAACAAAATAAAGAATTTTTTTTAAAAAAGCTTTATGGTACATTCTTAACACTTCTTTGGGGTTAAGGATTGGGGCAGGAATTCGACTTCACCAATTAGAGGCACTTATATGAGATTTAAAGGGCATGAATAAGATCAAAAAAACTTTTCTTTCTCTGTTTCTACAGACTGTCAGTCGTGAAAGAGTGAGGTTTCTCTGAAATCGTTTTTTAGAGCCAATTTCCTACCATTACCAACGTGCAGCAGCAGCATGCTGTTTAATTCCTTTGCAAGTATGTGATTGAAGCTGTGAGTGCTCTTTTTCGGGTTTTCTGGATATCAAGAGGTGGCTGCAGTCATGACTTCTATATGTCTTCAATTCTTTCATAGCCACAGAGACAGCCTCAGATCAGTTATTTCGTGATGTATTAGGATGTTGTTGTCCTGGGAGTCAATGCAAGTGGGCTCCTGCTAGACTCTCCCATCAGTCCTTTCTCAGGGTTATATGCATTGATTCCTTTGTTAATGCATGCATCAAAAATGGATATTAAATAGCCTTATAAATGGAAGAGTTATTTTACTTTCTCAGTTAGGTATTAGTAAGACCTATTATGTAAGGTGATATTTTAAATATATATATATATAAATATGTATTTTTAGTTTTTATGCAATAATCCCCTGGATGATCTCATACCTTTTCCATGGTTTGAACTACTATACATATATTCTTTCAAAAAATAATTTGGTATTGCTTTTACTTACATTTGAGCAGTGAGGAAATACAAACACAGATAAATGACTTTCCCAACCACACACAATGGTGAATGGCAAAGCCTGGAATTAAACCCAGGCAATTTGGCTCCTGAACTATATTGTCTCATCCACTGCAATATGCTTCCTGGAGGTCCAATTTCTGGTAAATTTACTAAACGTATTTCAGAGAAAATTTTAAGTGGAAAAAATTCATACTTGAGTCATCAGGATGTAGGTGGTAGTTCAAACCATGGAAAAGATATGAGATCATTCAGGGGATTATTGCATAAAAACTAAAAAAAAATCAGAAGAGGAGACTCATACAAAAAATAATGTTTAAAAATTGAGAGTATGGGAAACCTGTAAAGATAGAGAATAAGCAGCTCAATACTAAGGTGTTTCAGAGGGAAAAAGAAGTGGAACTCTAGAAGTCAACTGCCTATGGCTAA